TTTACTGCCCCTTAGTGCTTCCCTTTTAAAGTGACAGGAAACCCATTTCTGATTACAAATCAATAGGTTAGCATGTTACCATCAGACAGTAAATGTAGTTGTTGATATCAGACCACAGAAGACGATATCAGAAAAGATGAGGTGTTTCCATTTTTGATGTAAAACAAACAAACAAACAAACGAAATAGAAAAGTATTGCTTTTCTTCAACTCCATATTTTCAAATAACAGCCCTTCTAGTAGCAAGTCACATGTGGCTATTTATCATTTAGGGGTCACCATCAGAATAAAAACCACAGCAAACATCATTTACATAAAGTACTCAAGTTTAAGTCTCACAAATCAGGAATCACTGAAATGTGCTGGATTAGTTAATATAATAGAAAGCAAAAAGTACGTATGCTTCTGTCACACGAAATACCTTTTGATGAAATCTCTTTTTTCTTTAAGCTTTTGAGATAATCTTAGAGAAATCATCAAACTATAAAAAGAAATCAATAAAACAGAAAAGGTTCCCATCACCCCTAAAAAAAATCCATAACTTTTGCATTTTAATAGAGATACTACAAGACTATACCAGTCATTTTCTTTCTGATGTGTTCCTTTGATTTCACTCTTATCTCACAGGACTCTTGACTTTCCTGAGAAAGGGATTATTGAATTGTATGTCTCCCTCAGATGCTCTTGATCATTCAAGTAGTCTGTACTTAAGAACGTTACAGAGTCTGCTCAGCTGCTGGCTCCTTGGGAAACTCATCAGGGACTGTCATCTTAATATTAATTGGGTTTTGTGCAGGAATCTGAGTCCCACAATGAGAGGGTTTCAAGAGAGAAGATTATGCCCAAAGCCAGATATAAAAGACAAACATGTTTAGCACAACAATTATGATAATTGCAGAAACACTCTGAGAAATAAGTAAATCTGATTAAGGGCACTTCTACATGATCAAATATTAATCTGATGTCTTCACTCTAACCTGGTTTGAACATAAGAGGCTTCTTATGGTTTTATGTATTAACAGATTTGTAGAAGCTGAACTCATAGTACCTAATAATATGGTACATCCAAGTCAATACAGTAAAAGGATCTTTACGGAATGTAATCCACTTAAATTAAAAATAGACACAGATTGAATCATAAAGCTTAAATTAAAATTGACATACAGTCAATCAATAAAACATTTCATATGAAGCCTTGTATAAACCACCATAACACTTTTCAATTTCATAACATTAAAAGTTCCGTATTTCTTTCTTTTTAATAAAGATTTCATCACAAATCATCATAAATACCACTCAGACAATGAGTTAAAACTTTCCAGACAAGCATAATAGCAAACTAAATACACCTACATGTATCTTTGCAGCTGTGAGATTTTTCTCCCCTCTTTTAAAATGTGTATTAGTTGTAGAGACTTGAAGTATCTGATAAAGCCCTTTCACCTTAAAATCACTATGATCTGTAAGAGCTTGGAGCCAACAACATATATTTGAGTGATAAGGCAGTGGCAGAAAAAAAGCATTCGCTATACTGATTTCTGTCTGTGTGCATGCACACACATACTTGTAAATAAATACACACACATACTTACCCCTCTAAAATCCATAAAAAGCCATATTTAATATTAGGTACACATTTAATACTGTAATGACCAGTATTTTCAGCTTCTTATGCACAGACTAGTTCTGAATCAACCTTAAGCTTATATACATATTACGTATACTTTTGAATATATATGCGCAGAGATAAAAGCAACTCCTAAGACCATTTACACTATATTTACATAACCATTTAAATTAACTCAGATGAAATCTTCCATGTATAACTAAGTTTTCAAAATTGAACATTAAGCATCTGAAACCTATTACAGTAATACATGCATAGAAGCCTGGTACAAAAATGAATTATTCCAACATGAGAGAAAGAGAAATACACACATATGGATGTCTATCTATCCATCTTTATTTGTAAGTATTAACCACATATAGACCTTATGTGAAAGGTAAATCTTGCCAGCATGGCTTACCTCCCATAGTAATTAGGCTTGTGTTTCTGCTTTATTAACTCTGATACAACAGTGTCCTGCCCTCTGTCACCAGGGGTACTAATAGATGATAATCACTACGATTTGGAAACCATACAAATTAAATGATGAAGTGAGATGAACTGTAGTAATGCAGTGAGTTCAAGGATAAGAGAGTTAGTCATTTCAATAGTCATTTTCAGGATATCAAATAGAAAATACATGAAGAGATTAGATCACAGTTTAGCACAGAAAATAATCATTTAAATTTACAAGGTAAACATACATTTTCCCTGAAATACTACTGCTTTAAGGATGATACTAAAACAGTTTGCCTCACGCAAGATAGTTTCCCCTAAAAGAAATATTTAAAATATACTTCATATGCATAAATACAATGAAATAGCTAATAATTAATAATACTGCTTGTGAACAATTGTAATTTCATGTGGATAGCAAGTATATTTTTTCAGTCTGTTGTAAATCAGCCTGTATTAAGATATCAGAAATACATTCTTATCTGCATTACTATAATCTTTAAGATGTGGTCCTGATCCTTATCTTCTACTTTTTGATCCATTAATCTTCAGAGCACAAATATGACAAACCTACTGTAATTTTTTTTAATCCAGTGCTTAATTATTGAGAAACATAACTCAGCTGACAGATGAAACAAATAAAAATAGTTGGAAGTGTTTTTAAATGTTTTTAACTGTTAAATATTGTGATGAATATCATAATTTTGCAGTAATTTCAAGAGGCTTCAAGTTCTATAATGTCTATTTAAATGGAAGATTTTTTTTAAAAGATACACCAAAAATCATAACTCTTTATCAGCTTTGTAAGAAACAATTAAAAAGCTGACATGAAGATGCTAAGTGTGAACATTGAGTGTCTGTTTTTTCAAATCCATTCTTGTCTTCTGTAACTTATCAATAGCATATTCTTGTTACTGCAATTATGCTTTGAAACTGAATGTCTTGTGTATTCAAAAGTATTACATGTTCTGTGTTAAATGTAATACTGAGGTAGCCACCTTTTTAGAAGGGAGAAAGATATTTCAGCATATTTATTGAAAGACACATGTTTCAGTATAAGCTAACTTTTTCAAAAATACATAAGTATTAGTGAAAGACTTCTGGCAAATTACTTTAAAAAAAAAAAAAAGAGTTAACAGGTGAATGCAGCTATATAAGCATATTATTCAGTTATCTAGAAAATATAAAAACCCTTCTTGGGAAAACAATCCATAATTCCAAATCTAAATCCAAATCAAAGTCACATTTTCCTAATATTTTTCTAAACCAATATATTCAGCTACAAACAGTTCACTCTGTGCTGATAGTTTTAAATTCTGTTAGATATAAGTTTCAGTAATCATGATGCTCTGCAGAAACATAATTCTGCCTAGGCCTATATTGTGCACTTCAAAAACAAATACCCAGACTCCACATTCTTTTTTTCAAACTAAGCAAGTACAGCACATTTTTAAACACACCCTGAAACCAAGATGTATAAAATTCTATTTACACCTTATTTATACATACTAAGTATTTTTCATTCTTTAAAGTACTAACATAAAACGTAGTATTTCTGAACTAAAATTGAATTCTGCATACTATAGCTATTTTAAATGTTATCAAAACTTTTAACAGTATAGGTCTGCTTTCTACTGATCTCAGATTCTACAAAGGATTACTTTTGTACAATGCAACAAGTTTTGTGTAACCCATGTAATACACTTCCATCTCTCATTTAAAAGATCAAACAACTGGATTTCAAAAAAAAAAAATTCTAAAAATTATGTATTCCATCACTGAAGAGAAAACACTTAATAGACAAAAGAAGTATAGATACTTTCCTAATAATCATCCAACTAGTTACTTTCTGTTCTGAAGAATTGTTTTCTATGGTTAGCATGTTTACAGACATTCAGTTCTAGATGCAGATTATGGCAATTAGATATTTATCCTCCTTAATGTACACTGTTTTTATTTATGTTGAACTTGAATCCATTATCAGAAACAAAGCTGCATACATATAACCCTAACCAATTGCTGGAGATGCACACAGACTACTGCTTGTTTACTTTGGGTAGACTAATCTTATGGCATGCATTAAAAATGTTGTACTTGTCACTGACTAATACAACAAATTGAAACCTTGGAACAATCTTATTTACAATTCAAGTGCTCAATATTTGATTCTTGCATCAGAATTTTCACTTAACCCTTTTGTTAAATAACTCAGGGCAATGTACAGCTACACTGCAATTTAAAACTAAAAACAAGGCCATTTCATTTGTTACACAGTTTTTCACTAACAGATATATCCACAATGTATTACCTCACTGCACACTTTTTAGGGCCTCAGTTATTATGCCGTATATAATTGAATATTTCAACTGTTTTGTACTATTCATAGAGCTAGGGTTATTGTTGAAAGAAAACCAAAACAAGACCAAAAAAGACAACCCTTCCCTCATCTGTATTCCATAAATAAAAGGCTTAGCTGCTGTTTTTACTTACAGTTCCCAGAATTTCTCTCTCTTCTAAACCATTTTAGCTCTTAATATGAAAGTTTTATTAGTTATTCTGTCAGAAAATTCAAACCTTTACTAAGTAACATGAACAGTTACAGTTGCTTTAAGTGTGGTTGGGTACCCCTGATTCCATCAGGAAAAAAACAAAATAAAAACAATATATGGCATATGTTAACATCTAAAGACTGAAAACATACCCAGTAAAATAGTCCCACAGACTAAAGGAAATCACTACTTAATTCCACAAACATTTGTTTCAGCTCAGGAATTGCACTAGAAACTTTAAGTAGTTTCCTTGTTCAAAAAATACTCTAGTTGATAATGTGAATTCATAAGATGCTGCATAGCACCATCTGCTGGTTTGAACAATGGGCTTTGGAGAAGAGTCCAATTATTCATGTTATCTGAAATCTAGAAAGACGACATTTCACTCACCTTAGTTTCACAGGGTTTGTATGATTCTGCATAGACTCACTGTACAAACTGGAAGAGAATGACAGAGAGAGAAAGAGTATCATCCCATGTGCATATAAAGACATCTGAAAATCATACAAAGATGAAATCTGAGCAGGAGAGCCTTATTCAAAGAAAAAGGAAAGCTGAATTTCCTTTGTCCCAGTCCTGGGAAGAGATCCTTTTAAACTGTCTCATGGACATTATTTTCTTGCTTAAACCTAGATTTTTTTGGAAGGAAATTTAGGAGGTTGTTGGATATGGAAATATATATTTATTTTTTTTTTCGTAAACAAGAAAGTCACAACAGCTTCTATCCAAGATTAATCATTACTTAATAGATGCTAAGTTCAAAAAAAAAAAAAACAGCTGTTTTATTTTTGGTTATAAAGAATATAGATGTAAAAAATGTATAAACATAATAGATGAAGAATATATCTTCCTTTTGTCCAGGCTTCATATATGCAACAGATAAAAAATAAGTGATTACTAGAATGCTATTGGTAAACTACGTTTTAGCTAGGAAAGCTAAAACAGCCTCAGGAATATTTTCTGAGAAATGACTGGGTTGGGAAGCTGTTTAAACTTACATTTTTATCTTTTATTACTATTTAAAAGGAAAACAAACAAACAAACAAACAACAACCAACCTCATTTTAACTGGATTTTTTTTGCCACATCAACACAAGAGAAGAAACGTTTTTTTTCCACAAAAAAAAAAAAAAAAAAGAGACTATCCAGACCTCTGGATTGTAGTTTCTTTTTTCTATGCAGTTTACATAGAAGCAGTAGCCATAGCCATGATACAAAAATTAAAGACAAAAATTTTGCAGCATTAGTGGGACAGCTTGTGTCAGCAGCACCCTCACACTGTAGTAGTACAAACGATAGGAGTAGGTCTGAAAGTCCTTCCTCAGTGACACCTCCCAAACTGTGGTAGCAGAATTTGGTATATGGGAAAGCCAGGTTCTGCTCACACCTCTGGCTGCTCCCCGTAAATTAATTTGTTTACTTGATGCCTGTTTCATGAGGTGCATAGAGGCCTTAGCTGGTACATGTGCATACCAAAAATATCACACGTTTAGTACCCACTGTGGGGTCCTGGCCAAAGTGCTCTCTGTGACAGCTTGATGATAAACAGCTGGCCTGCTAGTGGAACGTGCTGAGTACACTGGGCAGCACGAGCAAGAAACAGGTAACCAATATTAGCTGAACTCCCTGTTCAGAATAATAGGGCAGACTACTGTGAAAATCCTATTGCTGAGCTATCCAAGTGTGGTTAGAACTCAGTTCAATGCCTGGTAAAGCAGGCATACACCGATTAATTTCAAGAAGGCTGGCTTGCATCTTTGGAGCAAAAATTAAGAAGCAAAAGAATTTTTCTTCTCCCTTTCACTTCCTTTTCTTTCCTCTCCCAATAAATCAGTTAAATACTTTTTTACATCTACAAAGTTGGAATAGCCCCAACAGCTTCAAGTAGTTTTAGTACTTCATACTTAAGCCAATGCAACGTTTAAGAAAAAAATAGATAAATGAAAGAAAATAAAAATCCAGAGTATTTTGTCTTCCATTCAGTAAACTAGGAATTAAACCCATCTGCTTGCCACCTCCTGAAACTAGCATGAGTTCGTACTAAGCTCTGCAAATCCAAAGGGAAATGTATCACTGCCTGTCTATACCACAGGACTGAAAGAACCTACAGAGACATATAGTAACTCCGGGTAACACTGGCATAAATAGGAAAAGAGCAATGTGGTTTTGGAACATAAGAAGAAAAAGCCTTGAGCAGAGTCTATAAGGGATTATCACAGACTTCTCTGGCAGCAGTATCATGTGTCATAACAGTCATTTCTCAAAAGTACAAAAGGTCTTCAGTTCAGAAAGCTCTTCACCCAATAAGTATTTTTATGAAGTTATTTGGTGATATTCATCCCACAATACATTTCTATTTCAAATAATAACAGACTTTTGCTGAATTTCACTGACTCAGTAGCTGGTATAAGTGTAATTTTGTTACCAAGTGCTATGCAAATTCCTCAGTGTGATATCACCAGAAAGTTTCATGCACCAGTTTTAAGAAAACAGTAGTTGTTAAAACAATAACCACCACCAAACAAAGACAACAAGAAAACATGATCCAGAGTAGTATTGCCAGCTGAACTGTATCATCTCCTCGGCACAACCTGAAGCAAAATTCTTGGAGCAGCATCTTCACCACATCAATACAGAGCACACCTTTGCATTTTAATTCCTCCCTATCACTGCAGAGAAACAAGTTTAGTATATCAGAAAACTACAAAACGTTTGAGTCACCAATAACAAGAGGCTCAACTAGCCATTTCAAATATCATTTACATCAAACATCAACTGACTTGTGTTCTTGTAAATGCCATCTACATTCTTGCTAATTTCTAATATCCTTACAGATGTTTTAAACTACACAAAATAAATTGGCTTAAAAGTTTTAAGGAGACACTTCTATATGCCCACCATCTTGCAAATACATTGAATGTCAATATACATGCCAGAATTGAATGAATGAATGAAATATCTTGGCTCATAAATAGCAGTACAGATTTGGGCATTTCCTCTGGAGTTCATTTAAGACAATGTTGTAGAGATAAAAGACTTCCAAATGACCTTTAAACAAACAAAAAATCTTTTAGCACAACTTCTGAAAATACATGAAACCTCTTAGCTAACCCGAAAATATGTATTTTTTTCACCAGTTCCAAGGGACTTTAGATTAGACATCTGTATTATAGACTACCTGGGACAATATTTTTTCCACAATTTTGCCAAGCACCCTAAAAACCAGAGCACTTAAAACAAACAAACAAATAAAACACCAAGAACTACAAACAAAAATGCAGTGCTAGCCAAGACAAGTCCTGTTTCAAACTCCATTTTAATTAAACACTGTTCAAACTAAATTAGTAAGAAATCCCATTTATTCAACAGCTTCACTGAAAACAGATACACACATTATAAAATGAAAAAGTCTCAGTTAGGTATCGTAAATTAGGATCTAAGTATCATGTAATCACATGAAAATTAGCGACATATACTTTGAACTAATGTAGAAATATTTACCCATAACATGGAAAGACTAACATTCTCCAGCAGAGCAATTTTCAAACCACTGCCCTTGTTAAAACTGAAGCTGCCAAAACAAAAAAACTGGTTGGAGCATATTACTTACTGAATATGAATCCTGAATATTTTAAATCACTACATCCTGATATAGAATGAGTTTGGATTGTTTATTTATGGACAGCTACAGCTATATATACCTATCATTAATAAACACAAACAGATCTTTGTTGTTCCAGAATAGTGACATGTAATTTTTCCACTAATGCAGTACCATAAATACTAACTTCAGCAACCAATTAAAGAATTAGCAAGAATGACCTCAAGTAATACATGTGCATTGTGCCTGCAGCTTGGAAAGTTTTGAGGATGCCTTAATTTTCATACACTAAGTTTGTATAATCATTATGAATGCAAGCTTTGAAATGGCATACAGTGCTCTTATTGAATAAAAGGCTGTAGGAAAAAATCTTCTGAAGTCCCCAAGCAGTTTCACCATAGCATGTTTTAAAGCAGTGACTTCAGTTTTCAAAGCATTAAGCACCAGTCACAGAAATTTCATGTTTTATTTTCAATATACCTCTATTCAATAAGGCCTTACTCTTGGTTAGCACTATAGAGCTCCTATAGTTTTCAGAATTACTGTGATCTCTGTTACTATATAACCGTATTTTCTTTCTGTTTTATGTGCTTATGTTTTACCAATACCTTGCCTGTTTACAAAAGAAGCCATGACAAGTCAGTGTCAGGATCCTGAAAGAATCAATTCACGGTACTCATTACATTCCTACTGCCTATAATCACTAAAAAACACTAACCCCTTAAACTGGAAAATAAGTTTATATATAGAGCTAAAACAACTGTCACAAGCTTCTATGAGCATATGTTACAAAGTGAAGAACCTGGCAAACAAAGTAATGAGGACTGCACTTAGAGCCCTACGCAGCAAGTTCAATAGCTTAAATTCTTACTGTACCCAAATGGTGGGCATGTAACTGTAGAAAGCTTTCAATAAAGATAAGTATTACATAATTAGATAATACAATATTTTCAATACCTTAGCATAGTACATTGATTTTTCATATAACTAGCCACAATTCCACAAAGGTAATATATGACCACTTGCCTAACTGTGTTAGCAAGCCTACCAAAATCTGTACAAACAATCGTAAGCTCAAAAGCACGTATAAGTGACAATATCTTAGCAGGTATTCTAACGACATTTTTTAGGATAAGTATATTATAACATCTACTCATTTGATGGAATGAGCATCTTAAAATATTCACTACTTTTCTACTCCAAGCTTTCACCTAATCCAAGTGCATTAATGCACGGGTTCTGAAAATACTCTACTTCATAAGAACAAGAGCCATAACGGTTACGCTCATATTACTGCATCCAAAAAAACTAAGCAGTTTCTTTTTCTAAATATTTTCTTTCAAAGAAAATTCTGACAGCATGCCTGAAAAATGCTTTGGGATAAATATAGAAAGAATAAGATAGTTTTGAGCATTTTTCTATTTTTAAATCAGTACACACAAATATTTTTAATAATGTCTGATTCTCAAACAAATATTAAGTATAAACACTTATGAAGTCAAACGTGCTCCTGGCCAGGTGAGCAACCTGTCTTCTGCTAAGTTAATGATTAAACCTGAACAGAACGAAGAGGTAAGAAGATAGTTCATTGCATACATATCAGTAGACATTAGTAAATACTACATGTTACAAGATTAAAAAATACGTGTGTGAAAAAAAAAGAGAAATGAGAAAAAAAAAAAAAGAGCTTTGAATGATGTTTAAATTCCACCCTTAATATCTCTTAGATTTGCTCAATAGAAAAATAGAAAGTGGAATATAGAAAGTGGACAAGGAAAAATGGCTTTCTGCTGATGCAACACACATGCTGTTTTCCTGAACAGACTTAGAAGTTAGAGTACACAGCATGCAAGTAGCAAATGACGGTTTTAACACCTGTTCACAGCAAGCTAACCTATGCCTTTCAACTCTGAGCTTCCTTCTTAAACCATAGGAACTCCTCTGAATACACACATGCTATGTTATACTTTGCAAGAACACTTTTCAACTCCTGACCATGGGCCAGCCTTCTTAAACCCAAATCCCTTCCTTACCTTTAATTAGTGAAGTAGAATGTGATCATATGCACTCCAACAACATCCTGAACTTTGCTGCTGCTGTCTTCTCCTCATAAACCTGAAACACAGAGATTATAATTTAGTCCCAAACTGCATGTCCAGGTACAAAACCGGTCAATTATAGACATGAGGAGATTATTCAAAGACATATCTGCGCATACTCTCCAAATTCTTTTCACATAGCACATTAATACAAAGATGAAAATGAACATCTTTACCAGGCTCTTCTAATCCAACAAGGAGCTGCATTTCCCACTGTAGGAATACAGCAGATCCTAGTGATTGACGCAGTGGTTACCTACTTTCTCACAGAGTACCTCCTTGCTTACCTCCCACAGTAATAAGACTTTTTATCTAGGTAAGCATGGCTCCAAAACAGTTTCTGGGGAAGCAAAACTAATGAAGCCTCCTTTCCTGCAGAGTTGTGCCCTAAGTTCCATAGCTCACATGCCTTCCCTGATTTCTCATTAAGGCTGAGATTACATTATACCTTCCTCCTCATTGCAGTAATGGCTTTTTCTTCTAATCATTGTATTTTCCTAGGATATACAGAACAAAAATATCTTTAAGATTTCTAACTCTCCATCAAATTTACTACGGAATGACCAAACACAAACTGTTGTTAGGGATGGATGCACACACTCTCACATACAGCCAGCATGACTGCCCAAAGAAGTCATCTCTATGTCAAAAAAAATGTGAGACTGCCTCATACAGTATAGAATTTCTCTACACCTTTTCAATAATTTCCATTTCCAAGTAATAACAGCTATTGGTTGATAACAGCTGATAAAGATGTCTGGAAAATTAAAATGACCTCAAAGGACTGCTTGCCAGGAAATTCTCACTGTGAATACAGAAAAGGTTTTGTTATCAAAAGAACAAATGCATTGGTCTATTTAAATCATTCTTAAGGAAATGTTTCAAGGATCTTCAAGAAAATAATCATTTAATTTAATAAATAAACTGGTCAAGAAACTGCAAATTGGACCTATGTAACACAGTATATTTCTTCAGAAAAAAACAAATGTATTTTAATTTCAAAATGAAATATCAATCCTAAGGGATTCCCTTCCCCTCCTTAAATTCCCACTGGTCTTCCCCTTTTCCCAATTTAATAACTGTATCTTTTTTATAGACGAGAATCTAAATGTCTGTTGCTAAGCTAATCCTTCCAAGATTTGAATTCATGAAATAGAATGCTAAATAGAGATCATCATGGTATCTGGGGAATTGAACTTCACCTAAGCATAACTGTGATCCAGGTTACATGCAAAGCAAAAGTCTCAATAATGACACTAGTGTTTGGTGCTTGGATATTACCAAGGTAATAATTTGAATTAACCAAGTTTGGGAACTCCTGTCTTTATAGAGAAGATTAAAGGGAATTAGCAAGTTTCAAACACCTGCTTTGCCTCAGTCAGTTTGGTTCAAAAATTGAAGAAACTACCTAAAACAGATTTTAAAAATAAATAAAATCAAATGTGCTCACAAACTAAGTTTAAGAAGCCTTCAATCAGGATGAAACAGAACTACTTAATATTATGTAGGCATCAGGTTAGCACATTTATAAAGACTGTTCAAACACTTTTTCTTTTTGAATAGTACAGTGATGCAGGTATTAAACCTTGATTCATACTTGAAATGGTGTTCCTTTAACATGGTTCCCAGAACCGTGGACTACTCTCTAACAGTTTGATGTGGTTGTTAAGATACTACAAATTAAGTACATAACTTACAACTTTGCTTACTTCTTAACAATACGTTCTTCACTTTCACAGCATCTTTTCTTTCCAGTCTCTTCATAAACATGAACCAGATCTGGAAAAATAAATAAATAAATAAATATAAGTAGAATTAGTCTCAAGTTTCATTCTTATCACAACAGTTTACTTTTATTTATGTAACCAACCAAAATGCTGTAGAACATACCGGGCTAATCTCGTATTAAAGAAATTCTTAAAGGTTTATGAACTCATGCAGATGGAAAAAAAATAAATAAATAATTCAAGCACTGTCAGTTGTTACAGACTTATACTATTTGACCAGGCCCCACTGAAGAGTGAAAAAATTAACCATTTAACTGCATCATTTTTTTCCAGATTTCTTGGGTAAGAGGGTAAGTCTAGCAACCAATAAGGTTGGGTCCAGCAGATAGGAGCCTGAATTCTCATGGTGCAAAGCCATCTTATTTGAATCCAAACCAGAAAGAACCATGTAACTACTCGGGTCTTCGTTATAAGAAACCTAATCATCTCTACTAGCAGAAAAGTCAAGACAGACATTTACAAGGATACCATACTTGCTGTGGTCAACCTTCTTCTCCACCCCCAGCATCAGTAAAAATCCAAGGACAAGCTTGCTTCAAAAATATCAAGAATTTATATGCTTCTGCACCTTTAAAGGCACCTAACAATGTAAGCCAGTGAAAGACCTACTTTCACATGAAAAAGATCCGTTAGCAGAACAAGGACACCAACTACGGATAAGGGCCAGTCCAGACCACAGCAGAAAAAAAAAAAAAAAAGTTTAGACTTCGTGAGAAGGGAAAAGGGACTCTCAAATTCTGTCTAGACCATGCTTTCTCCCTCTTAACCCCGGGGTGAGAAGGCTTGTATTTCCAAACCTCTTGTATTATTATTAAATGTCTCATATGTGTGTATGTTTACAAAGTGAAACAAAAATGTACCCTGAGCCCTTCAATGACCGTCACTTTACTAGGTTGTTCAGACCAGCCTCTGAGGAAAGACAAATATATTTGAGAAAGCCATCTCCTAAACACGGAAATTCTACAAGCAATTAATTCATCATTAGTTCTTACAGATTTTGGTTATTTTTGAATCTTGCATTACTTTTAATATCACTCTTATTACCTGAAATTCTACTAATTTTCTCATGCATCTTTTATGTAACTAAAATGTACATAAAATGTACAGACTAAACATGACCTGAAACATACCATCCAGAGAGAAAACATGGAAGATTGCTTGTTAGGATGTTAAACTATTTTCAGCAATGTTGTCAGGAGTCAATTAAGCAGAATTTAACTCCTACCTCTTTAAAATTTTCTACTTTTAGGTAATACTCGGTATATAGGGTAGTGAAAATAGTACATTGCACATGCTAGCAGTAGTGAATGCAGGAATCCAAGGGCCTTGTTCACGACTTTGTTGCTCCAGTGAGCAGCTTGCTGCAGCTCTAATTTTGACGGGCTTTTCAAAGGCAGTCACAAAATGAATATCAAAGCACGTAAGTAATCCACATTGGGAAATCTGTCAGAAAATTGTTGGGAAAATAAAGTGAATCGATAGCATGTCAAGAGACTCAAATGGAAAAATATTGAATATTCATTTTCTTGGTTTCAGAGGGCTAGGGATTTAGTAGAACCAGAGCAGCTTGTAGGATTTTCATTCTTCTTGAAAACGTTCAAATAATTTTTGTGATGTGCTTTGGATTCAAAGTGTAATTAGTTCCCCTTAAAATTATGTTTTGCATCTCCATGCTGTTTAGTGATGCATATACAGCATAACTAGGAGAACTAGTCTGAACCCACAACAACTTTTAACTACATTTTTGAGGAAAGAAAAAGTACGATAACAACTATTCATGTTTGCTCATTTCCATGCAGAAACTCATGCAAGTCTGCTATACATTTGAAAGTGCTACTACAAATGTGGCTTAGTAGAAGCAGATATAAAAAAAAAAGTACCTGAGTTAATTTCAGTGCTTTAATGAGATTTACAGCATATTTAAAATATATATTTTTTTAATGTGGTTCCGATTCCAAGAAACGTAATACACTGACACAAGCGACATTTAATAGAGAGCTATGTCTATACAGTTTGTTACTGAGGCTGCAAACTTGCTTCTTCTGTTTGCCAAATAGCTGTTAATACCTACGTGGACCATCTCACGCAATGTTGTTATCTGAACAGACAGAAGCACACTTCTACCTTATTTTTTTGACAAAAAAATATCCCCCTCCTTCATTTCACACACAGTCCAAAGAAGTAACACAAACTATCAATTCATTGTGTATGCATGCATGTGTGTGTCAATTCACTAACTGCACATTTATTCTTGTATATAACTACACAATATTTCCAGGCAATCCATTAATCCATTCATACTGAAATTTATGAAATCTAGTTAAAGTCAAAGCTTTGCCAATAGCTAACTCTTGAGCCACATGTATTTTACTATTGTCACCTTCCCTGTCTCCTTCGAAGAATCTAAATAAATCAATAATAATAATAAAAAAAAAAGTAATATGGTATTCAGTGCTCAGCCCTTTCACAAATTGTTTTAAAATAAAAATGGATCTACAAATTCCATCCAATGGATCTCAAAATTCCATCCCTACAACACTGCATAATATCTTAATAGTTCTCCAATTCAAAGCCCTCTTTCCCTAATATACACAAAAATGATTAAACTATCATGTAAAGAATAACTACTTTTGATAAGACAAGAAAATTCTACACTTATGCCTCAGAAGTCAGAAACCACTCTAACTATTCTGAAGATCATCAGAAGTAATAAAAAAAATAAAGAAAGCACAACTTTTATTTATTCATTTATTTTAAGAGCTATTCTGTCCCTTGCCTTAGATTATCTTTTGAAGAGACTGGGAAATCACTGATGCACACCTTTTTAAGCCAAAAGAAAAAGAAACCTGTAAATACCAAACAATTTCTCTTTGCAGAATACATAGAAGGAAAAAAATAAAGATAACCATTTTCCTAAAATAGGTTAGGAAAACATGGTCTAAGTAGAAGTTCCCTAACACTACATTATTTTATTCCTTTGTATTGAATTTATTTTCACTTTTAAGACCCATCTTAAAACCAACCAAGCAAACGCTGTCCTTGTTACACAACCGACTGTTACACTTATATCCTTTCCTTATCAAATTGAACTTCTAGTTAGCATGCAAATAAAAATAATCTCCCCTCTGACCTCCCCTTGGAAAACTCTTCACACACAGGTTATTCAGGCAGTATCTAATTAGAGAACATTGAACATTGTAACTATATTCTTTGCTTCTGCTCACACCCAGCACAGAAGACAAATAAAACCTTAAATACTTCTCATCTCAGACAACAACTTTGCACCTGCTTAACACTTTCACGTTAAGGCTCTTCCATACAATGGCTTTCTCCCAAAATAGCTTAATAACAGTGAAGAAATGTTATCTTGCTACCTTTTCACACTTCTTAAGCTTGGATCTGTGAAGAAAAATGCTAAGATACTGCTGAAAGAAGATAATATGGATATTCACATTTCAAATAGTATCTCTCAACTTCACTTCTTTTCAAACAGTATGGCTCAAGACAAAATAAAAAAGGGGTGAGGGGTGAAGAAAAAAAAAAAAAAAAGCTTCCAAACCCACCCCCAAACTACCCAATAGTCTATGTGTGCACTTACCCAGGAAAACTGCAAAATACCAATGTTCCTTTCTAGCTCTTTGAATTCACACATTTGAAAGAGCATATCTAAAACTGAACCTTGCAGGGCAGGTAGTGATACAGGTGCAATAGTTTTAGATTCAGGGCAGCTGGGAAGATATCAACAAATGCAGCTTTTAGAAGGAAAAAAAAAAAAACAAACAAAAAAACAAACAATGGCTAAAAGGAAACCAATCTCACTGGCAGTAATAAAGAATTATTTCAAAATGACTACATCAAATTGGGAACAATTGCCAGTGGCAAATTAACAAGAATCAAGATCTCCTACTCTTTATGAAAGAAGCTCTCATGAAACAGCGTGAAGTTCTACCTCTATCTCCACCCAACTTTTCAGAGCTCTGTATTATACATAAACTTGTCTTTGCAATTACATTAACCAGTGCAAGGTGACACTGATGTAACAAGTTGATCAGAGAATAGGTAAAGTTATATAGGTAATATAGGTAAACAAGATAAAATCCATCTCTGGATATAGAAATGACATTTCTCCACAACTAAGCCTGTGTCCTCAAAGCAACTAGACTTGATTACTCATTGTGGGAATTTGGCATAGCTGTATGGTTAGAATTATCAGATAGAAAAGACAGCATTGATCTCTTGTGTGCAATCATCTTTGGCTGCTCATCTCCAAAGGAGGAAAGCTTCTCTCCTAGATTAGCAACATGTACTACTGCACCTCCATGCTGTGTGCAATTCACATATGCATTTTCAAATGTGCATACTTTTTCAGTCCATGCATTGTTCCATGTATTGAAGCAAATGAAATTCTCAAACAAAATAATTACTTAGTTACAGCCTTGTTTGATATAGACAAGTGAAGAGAATACTCCAGTAAAAACATCAAATTAACATCTATGGAAACTGCAGTCTAATGTTTCACAATTCTTCCAACGCTCACATACCTCATTAAACAGAAACAGTCTTGTGACCAGCTTCTAAGCAATCTTAACTCTGCTTTAGCAGCATAAAGCTCATAATAAAAAGTGTAAAACAATGTATTTGATTTGTTTCACATAGGTTCTTAGAACTTTGTTCTTAGTACAAAAGTTCTAATTTCCAGACCTATAGAGCCTTAGACAGATAAGTTAATAAGCAATTCTATTAATCTGTCTCCCATTTCACTACACCTACTACTAAAATATGTAATATATGTTAAAACATTTTATTTTCCAAAAAAGAAATTCCAGTAGCACCATATCACTAAAAGCAAAGGAACTTTGAAAAACATACCAAACATAACATGTTGAGTGATCACAAAGGAGTGATCTAGAACTATATCTAGACCATATTAAGCATTATGGGTGCTTCAAAATACTGCCTAAAACAAGGAACCTATAGAATCATAGAATCATA